AAAAGTAAAAAAGGAAAAGGAATATAGGACAGTTAAAATTATAGGGAAAGAATTTGGTCTCAAATACCTAAACAAATGGCTTTAAAAAGACATTAAGGTCTTTGTTCATGGAAACAAAATTTTTGAGACTATTTTCAGACTAACTTTACTTATCTTATATTCAGCTTGTCAAGTTTAGTTTGAAAAGACTCTTGAAGTCCTAAAATTTTCTTCCATAGCCAGACTATTGGCATAGCCTTAGGAGCCTTCAATATTGGAACTGTGTAAGCAAAAGAAGCAATTTGCGTTGGTAAAGTGGATGAGCGAAAAAGGGAATAAACGGGATGCATTTTGTGAACAAAGGATCCCTAGGGTATTCACAAACTTTTATCCAGCCAAATAAATCATAGGTTTGCTGTCCTACACTGAACTGGCCTAACCTGATACAATCTGTCTATTCTGGTTCAAGCAACCCTGGATTTTACTCCATACATCCTACTTTGTTTTGCATAACAAAAAAATATGAAATGATTCCATCTATTATGCATTGAGAAAAAATCTCCGTTCAAATTTCTCTGCTATAACGAGTTTTCCTATTCGATGATCAGAATGGCCAAGAAATTATAACTTGAATGAAATCATTCATCCTAAAGGGCATTACCAGTAGTTGTTAAAATCGAATTTGAAGAATCTCAAAGGTTCCGCTTAAGAACGACAGACTAATGTCAACCTAACCGTTAAGTCGCCATTATAAAATGGCGGCGCTACATGCACCAATTGAGGTCATGTTAAAATTTAGCTTACCATGTTAAGACATTTGGACATAGAGCCAATAGTCAAAGAAATATAAAGTATACTAGACATAATTTTAGAATTATATTGACTAGACAAATAAAAATATCTGAACAGAGTGCAGAAGAAGGTAACAATTGGTGTGTAGTCAACTGGTTAACATCGCACTTGCATCATTATTAAATTACCGCTTTCCCATCAAATGCTGATTTTCTTGTCACAAAAAGATCTGACAAAGCTAACATAATGTCGAAAAATGTAAACTGCCATATTTGACTAATTGTTCGGTTCATTCAATGTGGCCAATTCATACTGCTAAAAAATAATATGAAGGATATAACGAAGCTTTGGAGGGAAGCTCAACAGAACAAGCGCTAATCCTTCCTTGTTCTTTCATTTCATTAGATTGTTGAACTATAGGTGGTCTTAATAGGCCAATAACTCTCAGTGACATTCCTGATTTATTGAGATTCTAGGCCTAGTTGATTTCAGGGAAGAACAGGTGAGAGAAAATAAAATTAAAGATGTCTCAGCTTATTATTTAATATCATTATTTCGCCTAATTAAGGAATAATAGGGCCAAAAAAAAAGCCTGAGAATGGATTTGCTGATTGAATGCCATTTATTTGATAAATCACAAATTATTTAATTTTAAATGATTATGAATGGCACTTGCTTACCAAATGATACTGTAAAACAGTATGTTTTCTGTTAACTGCAAGAGTTTTCCGACCAAATTGCATCAATAATGATTAAATGAATCCTGGTCTCTTCATACAAAATAAATTTTAGAGCGTTGGAAAATTTATTGGGTAGCTTTTTTTTGCTGCGATTTGCAAATTAACAAGTGCTGTCAATGATTTAAAATGCATTCCTTTGTTCAGTAACGAATGAACAAAGCAGTTAAAACCTTTTGTGGATAATTATGAACTGCCTAAAGCGAAATGCACAAATTGAATCTCCTTTTCGATTAACAGCACACTTCATTGATAAAAAATGAGACTGACTCACTTTAGAAAGGAATAATATCTTCACCTAGAAATTGCGATCACTATTTCCTTTTAACTAATTAAAACTTCGATCAGTGCCTTCAGTAAGTTTAATTTTTTGCATTCTCAAAATTCAGTGAAATCATTTCCTCCTAGCAATGAAATATGGAAGAATGGATTGCGCATATGATATGTGAAGAAAACGGGTAGTTAGTGAATTGAGAATACTTGGAGGATAATTGCGAGAGAAGCATTCATTAACGGAGAGAAGTGATTCATCATGTACAACAGATTGACTAAAGGCCAATGATGGTCGATGAGAAAGAATTGCTTGTTGTCATCTTTAAGATAAGCTTCGAGTTGTGTCTTCTCTCTTTGTCTTTTTCTCCCATTCAAAAACGGAAAATAAGTGGATGCAATAACAGCAGCAGCACGCCTGACACCAATAGTTTGAAACGGACGATGTTTTGAGTAGAAACACATTGACATATGGATGTGTTTAGAAAAAAGGCGAAGACAACAGTATGAAACGGACACTTGCAAAGTTCTCTTTTTTAAACCTACACATGCACTGATCTTCAGAGTTGAGACATTTCGTGTACAGTATTGACCTTCTTATAAACACTGTATATCGTTTCATGCTTATAAGAATAGCACAGAGTACTGTATTAGCATTATTTAAATCGAATCCTACGAATTCCATCGTTAACAGTATATGGTAAATAAAAAGCGATTTGAAAGGAATGTCCCTTTCATAACTGCCATTCTACTCCTTGAAGGAAAATAACTGTGATATAAATGAAAAAGTGCAAAGTCCTGTGAATGTAACAGAAAAGTTAGAAATGACAGGAAGTGATGAGCCATCAGAAAAAAACACAAAACATTCATTTAAAAAAATATAAAGTTTTCATATTATTAGTATGCTCAAAACTTTTTCGCATCGCTCTCATAAAAATATCAATTGCAATTAATGTTCTCGTAACGATGATAATCATATGATTTTAGCTGGTTGATTCCTCATCAAATTCCTTACACTCTCAATTAAAGTGAACAAATACAAATATGAAATGGCGTTATATAAGTAAATCGATCACTTTCCTAATGAGTTTATATGAAGGCAGGGAAATTTTGAAGGTAAAATAGTACTGATTGCACGATTAAGGAGAGGAGAAAGTGGTCAAAAGCTTTTAGAAAGAAAAAGAATATATTCGGAGATGTAGTTCAGGCCAGGAAGCGTCGAAATGTTTGAAAGTGTATATCTATGTACGTGTGTGTGTGTGTGTGTGTGTGTGTATGTGTATGTATGTATGTATGTAAAGTTTGCAGTGGAAGGCAGATGAGCCGAGAAATGTAGGGTTGGACTGGGCTAGCACTGGTATTAAAAGAGGCCAAAAGGTGGAAGAGTTAGACCTAGTTAGTAGTCATCTGTTGATGCCTCTGTCCCATCCATCTAGTAGCTTCTTCATCACTCGCTGTCCCCTGTTGCGGTTGGTCTCTTTTTCTCGAGGCCTAAGTGAAGCATCCTCTGACGGACTATTATCCTCAATTCACTCGACATATTAGTCCTGCTGCTACTGGACTGAAGCAACGAGGCTCGATTTCTATTCGCTCTCCTCCACAGATTCACTGCAAAAATCGACATCAGAAAAGACATCAGATAGCAGCATTTCAAAGAAATGCAAAACTTGCTTAGTATTTTTTGGGAGCGTAAGTTGTTCTGTGTCACATTCACAACTTCAGAATGTTTAATGAGAGTTCTGAGGATGTCGCCGAAATGGTCATCCTCTTTCCTATTTCCCATGTTTAATACAATTTAGTCATTTTCATTTCAGACTGATGCGTACATCACATATATGTAATGCATAGAAATAGTATATATATACGAGAAGAAATGGTCCTGATGAGAAGGCTAAGTAATGTTTAATCACAAATGAAACTACCCAATGTTGTCATTAACCGAAAATCCATCTCTAGACCGGAAAAGCTGTCATTACTACCATGACAGTGACGGTAACAGGAAAGGTATTGTTCTGACTGATTTTCGCGTTTTATGCTTGGAAAATAAGATAGCTTTTGACATAATAACATATGTATATATCAGAACAAGATAGATCAGAGCAAGCATAAATAACCATTAATGACCACGGATTGAATATCTTTCATAGTTTCTGTACACTGTCCATCAGATATAAAACGGAAAAGAGGAGCGATCTCCTCTATACTTGAAATAGATAAAACGAAGCTATTTCTATAGTTTTGGTAAAAGATAATAAATAATCCTATAAGAATTGGTTGAAGGAAGGGATAAAATAGTGATAGTGAAGCTGGATTCGTGTGGGTATGTGAGACACACAGAGAGTCCACACAATAATCTTGAGTTAAAATTGGACAGATGCTTGGTTATGCTTTTGAATCATACTACAGTAATGGTATGAGGGATTAAAGACACCATCTGAACAGCAGCATTACTGCTGCATGCTGCAACTGCAGACATATGGTAGCAAAATTTAGAAAATACCAACAAGAAAGCTTTGTAAAGAAGTTGAACTGATGATGGTAACGAATGACCAAAATGGATTAGTGAAGTATGTAGGCTTTCAATTGTTTCAAACACCTACTAAAGATTGAACTTTTTCTAAATTATTTTTCCGTAACAGCAGTGAAACACTCAGTATTTAAGCACTTGTCAATGAAAAGCACAGTAATGATGTAAACAATTCCAAAGTAAGGTTTCTCTCTGTACTGCATCAGATATAATGTAGGTTCATTATTCATCTTATCCTACTGTGATTGGTCATTCCCATTTGTAAACAGTTCTTAATATATTCTGCAAGGTTAATTTTGCTCAGAAACCCAACTCGTGCAATGTAATATGCTTATTTTTTATTCATCACAATAACGTTCAAAATTAATTAAATCAGAACACCCAAAATCAATGTGATCATGTTTAGAAATTATAAAAATTTCGGGATACGATCATTATTGATAACTAGTTCAATATTAATATGCTAAAGTCTCCAACAACATAAAAGTTATAAAGTATTTTTGGGCTCCATTTAATGATATATACAAACTAGGGAAATCCGGAACATTATCCTCTCGGTATAAAACAATGATATGAAGCTACGTAAAAATATTCTTTTTAAAAGAAAAAATTATCGAAAGAAAAGTTGGAAGCTGAAGAGAAGTCGCCATACAAGGACTACTTTAATTCATATTTGGCTCGATGAATTTTAAATATTAGTACTTTCGGTGAAACCTATAAGGCACCTGAAAACAATTATTGTATTGATGAGAAAGAGCAATATTTTTTAATTGCAAAAAACAACGAATAATTCCAGTCTAGAAGAAATTACTGAAAAAAAAAATTACTAAGATTACCTGACTATAGCAATAAGCTAGAAGACGATTGATATGCGCATCATACTCTTCGCGGCGTCGCTTTTTTTTCTCTTGAAATTCTCTCGTTTTAGAAATGCGTCTATAAGATATTTTAAGCAGTTACTATGTAATAGCAGATTATACATTTTGCCTTAAAAAATGACATTATCTTCACCTGATCGTTTCGTGCTCCATCGCCTGAGGCGGGAATGCGCAAATTTCTCGATCCATTAAACTAAGCACCTGAACAGCATTTTGATTTACTGTATGTCCAGCAAGTAACTGTTTTGCAACTTTACGTTTTGCAGCTGCAAGTTCTTTACGGCACATTGATGCTTCTTGGATAAGAATTTGACGTTCGGTACTTCGTCTTATGAATGCTTCCTTTCGCTTTTGCTGTATTTGCTAAAAATGAAGAGAATTTTCATTTAAAACTGCAGAACGATATGTAATAATATTAGTAAATTCGTTTCAATCCATAAATGATTTGCTGAAATCTATCAAGATCTCGATCTCATGATGTATAGAAACGATAGCTTTCTCGATAAAAGCCAACATTTGGGAAGAGTGAAATGAGTTGTCCTGATTCTGAATGTTCCTTTTAAAACAACCTACATTAAGTGGTGGAGGTACCGATGATTTCGTCTCTCCATTTCTGTCAATAAATAACCAAAATCTACTGAGTCTCGTCGATCCTGACTTCTCGGAATGTTGTGATTTTGTAGTAGAAGATAATTGTGAGGTGTTTGCTTTACTGTCCAGTGGATCAGCACACTGCTCACCAGACGACACGGACTGCAAGAAAATTAAAAAGTTTCGCCTAAAAAACAGTTTGAATGACTGGGATTGTTGCATTCAGCATTCAGATTTAAGCTTCTGTGCTTGTCTTGCCCAGATAAAGTTGACATATAATGTTTTGAAATTAAACACCATCAACAGAAATAAAAATCCAAACTAGAAATGTGAAAAAATTGAACCAATCACAGGAAAACTCTGAAAAGGCAGAAAACTTTCTAAAGTTGACATGTAAAAGCTTGGAAGCTTAAAACAAAAGAGTCGTAAAGAACTAACATGTGACAAATTGATTTTATCATCACTTGCAGCAATGTCTGCATCTTGCACATTACGAACTGAATTGACCGCATAATCGATGAAACTTACAGAAGTAGGAAAGTTTCTTTGATATTTTCTAATCTTGTCCATAACTAACACAGCAGTGTGACCTTGATGAGAAGAATCAGTAGAATTAGGATTCCTACCGTTTTCCAGTAAACTCTGAAAAATAACTGCTGAAGCATTTTAGAAATTAATCAACATAATGTATAAAGCTGAACTTCAATCATCTGGCTCAAAGTAATGAAACAGAAGTAGTTGGATGTCCACAGAAATAGAACACTATTCCATTTTTTTTTTTGAATATTCAGGAGACATACTCTGTGTGTTTTGTCGGCAATAGATAAATCACGGTCCAGACGTGAGCAGTGTGATCTAAATGAGACAGTAATCACGTATCTGATATTAATAGACTCAACAATCAGCAGAGCAATTTAGATAACAAGAATTACGGCTTTAGAAAGCAAACTGAAATAGAGCAAAATATTAATACAAATATATTTGGACATGTCTACAATGAGATGAAACCCAAGACTACCGAAGAACTGCTGAGGGACAACATTTACGTAATTTTACTTGGTTTTGGATTCTTCAGTGAATTTTTCCAATTCATCTGAGCAGTGAATATGAAAAACCCACCAAGAATCAAAATTAGCTGCACTCATATATGAATGCACAGATTAATATGTTCTTAATGATGGATAGTTACTTATATATCCTTAATGTAAAGTGAATATATTACATACAAATTTTGTTCCTTCTTTTCTATAACTTCTTTGGTAAGAAGGGCAGCAAGTCTTGCTTCAGCTGTAATCCGTCGTTTCCTTTCTGACAGTGCTTTTCGTTGTTCAACTAGATAAAGCTGTCGAAGTTTACGATTATCTGCCAGCAAATGCGTAACCAAATCAGTTTCCTCAGCAAGCATTGCTGAAATTAGAAATCTGAAGTTCCTGAAAGCAATTGATAATTGTTTGCTTGATGGGCTGGTTACATATGGTTATTTACATCATACATTTTACGTGTACGACTGCGTGAAAAAGCACATGACTGTAACAAGTAGGGAAGAAGGGAATCATAGAAGAGATAGATTAATGCGTTCAATGCAGCAATCTCGAGCATTAATGAAAAGCTGTCTTTTATTGGAAACGATACTACTCCAGTGATAGAGAGTGAAAAAAATGAGAAGAGAGGTATGGTCCCGTTCATCCTTAGAGCAAAGTTAGGTTCATACTCAGGTTGCGAGAGAACGATACTATTTACCACTGCTTTTGAAGTTTGGTGGCTGTGAGAGGGCTTATTTTTGTTAATTTCTTTGTCTTTTTTGTCTAGATATTAACTCCTAATTAAAAATGTTAGTTGTGGAGTGATAGGAAGTTGTTTATTTACACATATTGTCCGCACAACTTCTGAGTTTTAACATTGTTTTCAGTACCGAAGTTATTGTCACAATTAAAATAAACAAACACCACTTCAACTACAATTAGGTACTTGCTGTTATAAGAAAAATAAAGGTTTCGTTAAGTTATTCCTCATCATAGTTTCTTCCACTAACACTTTCTTTATCTTTACCTTTCGTTAGTGTGTCCCTCCAACTTCTCGGTCTGAATTCTGAGTGTTCCCAATCCCTTGTTAACTTAAGTATATGCAAAGTTGTCACTTGATATGAACTTTGAAAAAAAGTGAAAAAAAGTGCTCATCCTTTGACTAAATCTCGAATCCAAAATCCTGGTTACACTTAGTATTTTACAGATTTATCGCTTGCATATTCATAAGTGACATCACGAAAATGTATGAACAAAACGAAGAAAAAGGTAATTTTGCCATCTTTTTACATATCATCTTAGTTCTTGATTTTTTGAGGAAACGGGCTACTATCTTATTAAAATTATTTGCTGTTTGTTTAATATTTTTTTACTGGTTCTACGAAGATTAAATAACCAAGTAGTATTTTTTTAGAGGACGATAGCAAAACTACGGAAAGCAACGAGGAAACTAAAACTCGACAACAAAAAAATGCCGCAAAGAAAGCTCGGCAGTTCAGTTTCGAGACGATGTTCACGGAAGTCATGCAAGGCGCTCTCACGCGAACAACTGAAACTTTCGGTAAAGAAGGCGTCAAAAAAACGGCCGACGATGACAAACGTTTTCATCGAGAGCAGTCCAAGTCTATCAGAGAACATCACTATGTTTGTTTCTTTGTTTTTTTTTTTTCTTTTTCACCTATTCATTTATTTTGTACGCCTGCCATACCATGGGACAATGAAAGGCAGTACTTATGTAACTTATAGGAGTGATCTTTCTGTTCTCAATGAAATGTACAAACATTCTGAGATATTCTAGTCTTGGAAGTATTTTTGATATAAATAATATATAAATAATTTTGAGTAGAATTATAAAATTTTCGTTAAATATTTCTTCCATTTTATTTCTGTTTGGCTGTTATGATTTGCTGAAAGTCTTCAGTTTAACATATGTCGTTAGTAACACTGACAAAATTGTGTTAGCGATTATGTGATGATAATGATAAGCATATGGTAGATGTGTAGATCTTGTGCCTACGATCGACAAGCATTTTGTTAGTGTTAAAATTTCTTTCCTTAACAATGGTTTTTGAACAGTTAGACCTCATGTTTTATTTGTTTGCTCTGGCTTCATTTGATTATTAAACATAATCTTTATTTAATCATAATCATACTTTGTGATAAAGTTTGTGTCAGATTTATCCAATAACATTCATCTGTAGTCGATCCTTCTACCGTTCGCATCCATTAATAGTGCTTTTGAACTTCTAGTAAAATTGTTTCAGGCTTTTGATGAATTTGTAAGCTCTTCGTTGTCAAAACCAGCTGGAACATCAGTTGAAGGTATTTTCCACTTTAAATTGAAGAAAAATTTTGTAAAAATAAGTATGTTTTTAATTTGCATAACATAATGAAGTTTAGATCAAATTAAATGTTTGTGCAATTTCCACTTACTGCTTGTTTCAGATTTAGAAAGTGACGATGATTTTGGAGAATTTTTTGTCCCTTTACCTGAAGGCTTTGTGCCAGATAAAGAAATATTCGAGACAAAAAAAACCACGGGCTGCGATGGTGATGATGATGAATTCGATGATTTGGATGATGGAGTAAGTGCGCAGGTCTCAAAGTGATTTTGTGTTTAATAATTCAGGAAATAGCCTGGTTTTTATATTAATTTAATTACACTAATTGTTTACTGTAAATTTTCGATTTTTGATTTGCGTATCATATTAAATACATTAATTGTTTAAAAAATCCTTTAACTTTGTCATTTTAGGTTCCTGTTGTTGACTTAATACCTGCTGCTTCAGAAGCACAGTTGCGTCATGGGAAGAAACCGGTTAGGTTCATTTTGTATTCTGGTTGTCTATACTAATTCTGTATGGACGTGATTATTTAATTTGGGAAAAAATTTCAGGTGTCGGCACTGGCGTTTGATCATCAAGGTACGAAATTTGCTAGTGGTGGATATGATTACACTGTGAATTTATTTGAATTTCAGAAGATGGATTTAAGTTTACGATCTTCACGTGAGCTTATGCCTTGTGAAAGGTGGATTCTTTTTGGATTTTTATTTGTTGTTATGCGTTTAATTTACTCTTAATTTTTTTAGTGCAAGCTTTTTGATCCGGTTTATATTTAATTGTATGCATTTTTCTTTTTCCAGTTTTGTCTTGTTTCAGTCATATCATCAATGGATTAGCGTTTAGTTCGAACGGTGAAAAGTTGCTAGTTGCTAGTGGTCATGCACAAATTCGTATCTTAGATCGACAGGGTAAACAATGGGCTGAAACTGTTCGTGGTAGGTTGAATACCTGGTCACAAAGTACTTCCAAATATGTAAAATTATTTTCGTTTGAAAACAGCATATTTCTTTCGTCATCATATTGATATGTTCTGTAGGTGATCAATATTTGGTTGATTTGTCTAATACCAAAGGACACTCAGGATCTGTCAATTCTTGCTGTTGGCACCCAGTTGTGAAAACAGAATTCTTATCTTGCGCTAATGATGGGTAAATTTTTCCCTCAAAAGCGAACAACTTTGAACATTTCAGTCTTCATGTTTCTAATGATTCAAAATTTAATTAGTATTTCTCCGGACTGCTTCCTAGATCGTTATATTTCTTGCGGTCGAATTAGACTGCTGGAAAAAAGATTTAAATACTCAAAACTTGTTCTCTGTTGCATAAAAAATAATTGTGTGGATCTATGGCAGCTTTTTTCTAGAATAAATTCCTGGCAAGTTAATTAACTAATGTCCAAAAAAGCTGGACTAAATATCATTATTATCTTTAATTGAGCAGCATAGGTGTACAAAGTAAATATTTCTCTGATATTTTGTGTAATATTAGTTATGAAATAGCTGTTATTAGTCTTAAACAAACGAGATTTAGTTAAGCACTTGTTTCATTTATTTGTGTCTAATTGTTCCAGTTATTTTAGTCAGATTCGAAATAGTTTAAAGTCATGTGCATGAGTTTGTAAGTTGGATTGTGAGATTTTGAAATTGGAAATTTCAGAACTTTGAGAATTTGGTCTACAGATGATTACAAAGAAATCACACATTGTATCAATAAACAGCGTAAAGTAATCAAAACAAAAAGTGCTAGTGGCAAAAGAACTATACCGACGACATGTTGTTATTCTCGAGATGGGAAATATATTGCGGCTGGATGTGATGATGGATCTATACAAATATGGAAGCATGGAAATCTTTATGTCAGCGTTAAAAGTTAAATGAAGATATATACTTTTAACGCATAATACTTGACTCAGAAAACTAATTGTACAAATTTTTCATTGTCGTAAAATTATTTTATTATTGCAGGTTAATACCGCGTATTTGAATAGAACAGCTCATACCGCATCGGTTACTTCATTGCAATTTTCACCAAACAGTAAACAAATTCTCTCAAGATCACGTAAAATATTCCTGATTTTCTTGGAGACACTTTTTAAATGTTTACGATTCTATAGATACAAAGAAACATTTTGCAGTTGATGGCACGTTAAAGTTATGGCAACTTGAAGCATTTGATAAACCATGCCATATTGTGGAGGATTTGAAAAATGAATTTATAAGGTAATCTTGAAGGAATCCTTCCAATATTTCAGTAGGTTATCGTTACGTATGGGCATTCGCACGTGCAGTGGCTTATTTTATGTAATGTTTTTTGCAATACAGTAGAAATTATTTTGGTCCAGATTTTGTGAAGATGCTAATGTTATTCATTTGTATGAAACTTCAATTTTTTTTTTTTTTTTTTTTTTTTTTTACAGCACAGACTGCGGTTTTGCGCCTCATGGTGAAATGGTCTATACTGGTACTTCTTTTGATGATAAGAATGGATCCGATGGAGTGCTCGCTTTTTTTGATTCGAAATCCTTCGATCTTATTTATCGAATCACGTACCCAAATTTAGTTGGTTCTTCATTAATTATATTTAGATTACGTAGTCTAAGAAAAATAACTTATTATATTCTATATTATATAAATCATTATTGCAACATCTGTAGATTTTTTTCAGAGTTGTATTAGGATCTCTTGGCAGCCAAAAATTAATCAAATACTTGTTGGTTTGAGTGATGGTTCACTCCGATTGTATTATGATCCTGTAAGCAGTTTAAGAGGTGCTTTACTTTGTGTTTCACGGCCACTGAGAAGGGCTCGTCAACAGGAAGTAATTCGTGAAGAATTAGTACTATCACGTAAGTTTCTTCATTTTCGTGAATGCATTATATTTCAGAATGAATGATCCATGTACATCAGTGGAATAATTCATGGCAATTTTCAGCACTGACCTTAGAAATGTTCCAACCAAGAGGTGAGGAAGGTGAGGAAAAGGAAGTTACAACTTGGCGACTGAAGAAATATTTGCGTATGATGGACAACAGATTGCGTC